ATTAAATAATTTTCACCATTAAACAGTTTTAAATTTCGCTTCATCACAGTTGACACGCCACTGGCCATTGTTTATATTTTGCACCGTTTAAACTTAAAACTATCTAGATTATTTATTTACTCGCGATTACGTGACTGGGCTCATAACATGTTGGAAGGTATGAAAGGTCCTTACATTAAACACACAGTGAATATCCTTTATAGTTCATTTATTAAAAGAGAGTCGTAATTATAATGATGCTTATTAGTCGAATATAACTAATCTTTACTGGATGTTATTGGTTTCAATCGGTCTTAAAAATACACATATATATTGTTGACAGTAATATAAAGAATAACTGACTCAGCTTGCTAGAAGGCCATTTTCCATATACTAAATAAACAGAATATTATTTTTGTATAACAACCAACAGTTGTAGAATAAAAATTTTATTAAGGTATAATATTGTATTATTTCTTTTAAAAAATCTGTACAAAATGATGTATTTAAAAGCGAAAAGACCTAGACATCTGCAACCAAGTTTTCATATTACTGTATTTCTGGTCACCTATGTACTAGTAATCTTGTATAAAAATGGCCACCCCTATGTTAAACAGATCGAACGTCTCTCTTGCTCCGTATACCTATTATAAGTATGTGGTGTATGCTGACTAAGAAAATAAATACCGAAAATCGTGACTATCTCCTGGACTATATAATTAATAGATGATGATTTAGAAATGGCGTGATGACTTCACAACAAATACACTTTTATCAATGGCTAGTTGGGGATGTGTCTATTATACTGTTTCTTACCTTAAATATTCGTTATGTAATTAAGATAAATAGCGATATATTTGTGTTAAAAAAAAATCACGTTTCAATTTGTTATTTAGTTTTAGTTTTAATTTAGTCTGTGCTCGTAAAAATACTAAGCATAAAAATATCTCTAAACCTTGAGATAAATAATTGTAAACCATTGTGATAACTGCAATCGTGAAATATATTTATCTTCTCGTTATTTTATAAACATTCGTTATTATCTGAAATTCTATTATTTATAAATAAACGAGAATTATCAATTCAGCCTTTGGTCTGAACATGATATAATCATAATAATAACTAAATCAGCGTTTTTAATGCAACTTGTTTCTGATATCTCTATCAATGAAAATATTAAATGAATACCAGTGGTAGCTTATCTATAAGGGAGGGCTATAGGAGGAAACCAATTTATATAAATATTACCAGAAGAAATGTTTAATTCCTAATAAAAGGTCTAAAATACTTTTTAAATGGTTTAATTCACGATCAAGATTTTTTAAATATAATATTGGTGTGGTTTTCCTTTTTCTGTTCGTTAATCCTAACACACATGTGTAATGTGTATGGACTTCGAGGATATAGTGAGGAGCAGAGGCACAGAGAGAACATAAATAAACAATAAAAATATATTATGTTATTATTATTAATTATTATATCGCCTCATTCGTTTCGGTTGTTTCAATCGTAAACTGGCAGTCAGTTAAAATAAAAGGGTCTCAAATGTGGTTAATGTAGTAACAAAATAATACACAATATCGTATACCTTATAAAAAATTTTAATATAAAAGTGAAATAAAACACATGGTATTCAATAGATGCCTATAAATGTAAAGGACGAAAGCCTACCTCATAAAAATGTAATAAAGAAGAAAATTCGAAAATTAAATTAAAACATCTCGACGTCAAAGGTAAGACTAGTAGGGAGGTATATGAAGGGGGAAAGAAGAAATTATCAATCTATCAAATCGCTTCGGACAGAAAGTGAAGTGTAGCCTTCTGATTCTCGCAAAGGAGTACTGACTTAGTAAGGGAGAAGAGCAGGAAGCTTTTACAAGAACCATAACAGTACAAAAGCGAGTGACCAGACACCCTAGGCGAGTAGAAAAGAAACGATATAGTGTGGAAGAGTTAATTAATTTAAGTGGGACAGAGGTCTCACAGCGAGTAAGTGTATAGGCAGCCAAGGATAAAAGTAGAGAACAAAAAAATGTGTAAGGAAACACAGGGAATCGCTTTCAGGAAACGATCATTATCACACTAAATTATGAACAAAAATACTGGTGAGTTAAAGATACAGGTAGTCAACTGCGTATTAAAAGTAAAAATCTGATGTGTCCAACACATGACTTTCTTATCTAGTTATTAAAGGCTTTTTTCGGCTATTTTGCACAACCTATTGTAGCACGTCTACAAATGTTTAGAGGACAAATTAAATATATACATTTCTCACATATAGTCCAGGCAATGAAAAGGTATAGAGGGAAATATTTGGAACACAATTTTCGACTTCTTAACTTTGTTTGGACCAGGAGGTGAACATATCAAAAGTACCAGCCCTTAGTCATTGAGCCGAGGGGAGAGAGGGGGTCTGAAGGTCTCCTTTTTGGTTTTCGCTTATATTTCGGAAACTACGCTTCCTAACGACATGACTATTCAATATAAAATGAAAGTATATTAAATTTACTACAAGTTTTATTTAATCAAGTTTTTTGATATCTTGTATAGTTTTCTGTATATCAGCTCTTGAAATCCTGTAAACGAAGACGATGATGAATTTCCTTCTCACCCCCAAGAGAGCAAAAAATTGACTTAATGTTACATACTGTTGTAATGTTTTATGTTAATTTAATTTTCTGTCAATAAACGTTGTTTTTAGCTATCGGTTGTGATTTATAAAACCATCCCACTGTCTTACAGACACTCATACATGCAGAAACATGGTCATAGCAACATATTTTCCCATTAAAATAGCCTTTAAGTATAAGGAACCTGGTCAGAGGGCCCCCAACTATATATTCTAAAATGAGTATCTGTGCTATTTAGTCCAGTACGTTGACTGGGAATGCAGAGAAATTGAAAGATTCATTAGTCGACAGTTGCAAAATTTTAGAATTCAAGCTAAATTTTGAAATTACTTTAAAATTTGAAGGAAAATAGTTAAAATAGTATATTATTGAAAGGAATTTAATTCTCTACAACCCTACGGTCAGCATTTATTTTTTGAGTTCATTGTTGAAGAGTTATTCGGTCAAAAAGAAGAAAATATGTGAGGTAAAAATGTAATTTCTAAAATTACAGACTTTCAAGAGCTAATATTTTAAAAAGTTGACTTTATAAAACTTGTAGCAAATTTAATAAGCTTTTATTCTATGTTGAATAGTCATTTGCTAGGAAGCATAGTTTCCGAGATATAAGCGAAAAACCGAAAAATGGGACCTTCAGTCCCCCTCTAGTCCCGACTCAAAGGCTATGAGCGGGGACTTTTGATATGTTCACCTTCTAACTAATCCACACAAAGTTACGAAGTCAAAAATAGTGTTCCGTGCATTTCCCTCTATAGCTTTTTTTTTAGCATTTTTTGAGCACTCGAACCATTTTTACTTTCCTATCTGTATGTGTGTGTCTGTATAACGCATAACTCATGAACCGATACACAGAAAAACACCAAATTTTAAACTTAAGCTTTGTTTCAGCGTCCAATGAACTGATTAGATTTTGGGCAGAGTCGGAACATCTGGGGGGGTACTTTATAGGTGGTCATTTTTATATTATATGGAATATATCTGTTATTTACGTTTGGAGAAGAAAATTCTTCGAATAAAAGTTACTTCTAATATAATTATCTATAATTTTTGTTTTATGCAAAATTTTCCGTAAATGGTCCGTATTCGAGAAATTTGAAAAAATTAAAAAAAAATAATTTTTTATAAAAATTGTTCAAATAAAAGTTGTTTGTAATAAAATTCTCTATAATTTTTATTCCATACATAATTTCTCTAAAATGGACCGTATTCGAGATATTTGAGAAAATGTGTAAATTTCGAATTTTGAAGAAAACTCAAAAACGGATACAGAAAATAACATTAAATTTTAAACTTAAGGTTTATTTCGGCCTGACGTGAAATGATTCGATTTTGGACAAAGTCGGAACATCTGGGGGGGTACTTTATGGGAGGCCGTTTCTATATTTTATGGAATATATCTGTTATTTATGTTTGGAGAAGAAAATTCTTTAAATAAAAGTTACTTCTAATATAATTATCTATAATTTTTGTTCTATACAAAATTTTTCTAAAATGGTCCGTATTCGAAAAATTTGACAAGATGTGCAAAATTCTGATTTTTATGAAAGTTTTTGAAATAAAAGTTGTTTGCGATATCGATCTCTATAATTTTTGTTTATACATGATTTTTCTAAAATGGACCGTAATGAAGAAATTGTAGGAAAATTTCAGTATTTTCGTTTTTAATGAATATCTATAGAAAAATGTTTCGAGGTAGATGAATGTGGACAATGTATATATTTAGTTTATCCTCTAAACATTTATAGAGATGCTGCAATAGGTTGTACAAAATAACCGGAAAAAGCCTATAATAACTAGATAGGAAAGTCATGTGTTGGACACATCAGATTTTTTTATATATATTTATTACCAACGAAACTACTGAAAAATTTAAATTTTAAATCTTTACTCCAATTTTTTCATTACGGTCCAATTTAGAGAAATCATGTATAAAACAAAAATTAAAGAGATCGATTACGCAAACTACTCTTAGTTTAACAATTTACTTATGCCACAGTTTTGATTAGCATGTATTGTAATAAAAGAGGATTGACATTGGTTGATGTTAACATACTATAGTGTTAAATTATCATAATTACATTTATTGTACCCAGGATGAAAAACAATTCCGGAAATTTTCTTTGTTGTCATAGTAACGATTAAAAATAACTAGATACTTGATTTGTTACAGAATGTTGGTGTAAAATTTTCACTATTAAAATCCGGTGTTTGATTGCGATAAATCTAAAATTTTTAGTTCAATGAAAATGTCGAGTAATTCAAATCTTGCGCTAATTTTGAAACGCTCTTTAGTTGTATATTTTTTAAATAAAAATGTTTTATATTTTATAATGACTCAATGATTCGCCTTAACATAATATGATACAAATTAACACTTTAAAAAATACTTACAGAACTTTTAGTGAATGACTTAATAATTGCGCTTGACACACTGACACATGAACCCCAATTTCTTCTAATTCTTGTTGGGAGTTCGGTATATTTACGAGGAACGTTTTTTCCGACTCTCAAAAATTTAAGCACCTGAAAAAAAAATAATATCAATAAAATATTGGTTCAAAAACAAAAAATGATATAATAATATAATGTGACTTCAAAGTACACAAAATGTACCAAAAACTCGATAATGCAAACAGCGTTGTCTTATTTTTCTGGCGTGAAACCAGATCAGACCACATTGGTTTTATATAAGTATCCATCAGTGCACATGAAATGCCCATTTACGATATTTTTAATTGGATTAGACATTTTTCATGACAAAAACCCGAAAACTGGCTATTTTTATATACTAATATTTTTTAAGAATCCACATTTCCGTTAGAAAACTAATAGTTATTGACTTGTCATTTCTAGCAATAACATAATTTTGGCTAGCAATTGTTTATTAATTGCCTAAATAAATTGTATTGAAATTTTACTCACGTGACAAATTTTTTATAGATGAGTTGGTTTTTACATGGAGCCTGATGGCGTTCGCGAAGAAGTTGTCAAACTCCCCTAGTAAAGCTCTGTGAAGTTGGCTCCCCAAAATTCGAAAATTTTAGTTTTAGAAGCGGCATACGTTTGACCACCTATTTACCATGTTAGACCACCCACTAACTTCCTTCGACCACCCTCAGAAATATAAATATTTAAAAAATATATTAATGGCCGAATGCCCGCTGGCCTCCGAAGTTATTATTTTTTTAAACTGACTGCACCATAAGATTAATCAATTTTTGACCATGTTTGACCATCCCTTAGATTTTTTTTAACACACCTTAAAATAATTTAAAAGCGGTAAATTATATAAAAACCAGAGTTCTGGGATGTATTTCAACTTTGAAAGATCAATGGTCAGAAAGGCACAATAGGATCCAAAAACGTTTAAAATTATGTATCGCCGTTTGATCACTTCCTAAAATATCTTAAAAGACCCCAGAGGGGTTGAAAATTAAAAAAAAAAAACATTTCCCAATCCAATTTCTAGTTCAAAAAAATAAGCGAAAGTACCCCTTAAAAACCCCAAAAACTAATTCTTCTATAAAACCGATCAAATTCATACTTGCTTTTACACTTAAAATATCATAAATACATTCATCAAAGTACATTATAAACTAAAATCCCTTCGGACCAGTCGAACAGGGTGAAATTACCACATTAATTTCAAAATAAATAATTACCCAATGAAAAGGAGTAGATTCCAACTTGGTTTTACATTTAAAAAATCATAAATATCCTCACCAAAGTACCTTGTAAACTAAAATCTCTCAGGACCCGTTAAACAGGGTGCAATTAACCCTTAAACTTCAAAATAAAAAAATAATCCTATGAAGACGATCAGATCCCAACTTAGTTTTACATTTCAAAAATCATAAATACACTTACTAAAATACGCTATATGACCTGTCAAACAGGGTGAAATTAACCCTTGAACCCTGTAAGCAAAAATCTCTTCCGACCCGTCAAACGGTAAAATTAATCCTTAAAATTTAAAATAAATAATTACCCTATGAAGAAGATTAAATCTCAACTTGATTTTAAATTTAAAAAATCATAAATACACTAACCGAAGTACACTGTAAGCAAAAATCCCTTTCGCCCGTCAAACAAGGTGAAATTAACGCTTAAACTTCAAAATAAATAATTACTCAATGAAGACGATCAGATCCCAACTTAATTTTACATTAAAAAAAGTATAAATACACTCTTCAAAGTACAGTGTAAGCGAAAATATCTTTCAATCCCGTAAAACAGAGTGAAATTAACCCTTATACTTTAAAATAAATAATTACCCTATACATACAATTAAATCCCAACTTGATTTTAAATTTAAAAAAATCATAAATACACTCATCAAAGTACACTGCTAGCAAAAATCCCTTCAGACCTGTTAAACAAGGTAAAATATACCCTTAAACTTATAATGTACTTTGGTGAATGTATTTTTGATTTTTTGAATGCAAACGCAAGTATGAATTTGATCGGCTTCATAGGATAATTATTTTTTGGGGGTATTTAAGGGTTAATTTGGCCCTCTTCGACGGGTCAGACGGGATTTTCGCTTACAATGTGTTATATTAAATTTATTTGTTTAATTGTGAAAGAAATTTGGTCAGACGGGATTTTCATTTCTTGGGGTAAATATTTATTTTTAATTATAAGTGTCACCCTGTTTGACGGATCTAAAGGGATTTTTTTTACTGTTTATGTTAGTATATTTTTATTTTACGAATGCTAGATCAAGTATTTATTTGTAATTTTAAAAATTAATTTTACCTTGTTAGACGAGTCCGAAGAGATTTTTGCTTTCATCCTTTATTGTTTAGTTCATTTATTATTTTTTAATGTAAAAGTAAGTTGAAAATGTATTGCAACCGTAAGGTAATTATTTTTTAAATTTTTAATGGTTTATTTTACCGTCTGACGAGTGCGAAGGGATTTATGCTTAAACTTTATGTTACTATTGACTTTTTAAATATTAAACACTTCACAGGATAATTATTTTATAAATTTTACCCTGTTCAACGGACCCGAAAAAATGTTTACCTATAGGGTATCTTAGGCCTGTATTTATAAACAGAACTCAGCTGAGTTTAATGTCGGTTGCAACCACAAAGCATGTATCTTCTAGAGACCCCATGCCAATGTTAAACTTTTAAACCAAATTAGCGCCACCTTGTGTTTGGAGCTGGAACTAAAATGACAATTGACAGATGGCGGTAAATTCAAATTGTAATTTTTAGGAGTAGGTAGTAGTTTTAAATTAAATTTTAAATGATTTCCACATAAATTATTTTATAAAATAAAGTATGGAACTAGTAAGTTCGAAACTTTTATTTTACAAAATAATTTAGGTCGATTATACCAAATTTGAAGAATTAATTTGTTATAAGGGGTCTAATGTGGAGAGTTGGTTCTGCATATTTTTATTAAATAAATATAAGATATATCAATAAATAATAAAATAGAACATTCTTAAAATATGTTTATTAATAAATTAAATAAATATTATTAGATAAAAATAAATACAAATAATAATACATATTTAACGAATACTTACTTGGAGCAAATAGATATATAATCTCAAATCTTTAAAATACCTATCAATAATGTAAATGTGAAGTAGAGACTAGGATATATACATTTTATTAACACTAAAGTTATATATTTTATAAATGTCTTTTTAACTGAGGACAAATGTAATATAGGTATTGTATTAAAAGGTGAATCCTTTTAACTATTCATTCAATGATAAATAGGTATTTTCCTTCCAAATACAGATGGTGATACAGATTTCGGAATCTAGTCCAGTGATAAATTGATTATCAATTAGTTGTTGTCCCCGTTTGTCTTTTTATGATGCAGATGCATGGTGAATATATGGTGAATCAATGAAGTTTTTCTCGAAGTTTTCAACGTAGCACCAAAATTATTGCAAAACACAGTAGGAAATAAAAAAGCGAAACATCACAATTTTGCAAATAACTAAGACGAAACTATAAACAGAAACCAAAAGCCAAAGCCAACAAAAATCACTAAAATCAGACGGAAAAATGAAACTAACCAAGAACATAAATAAATACACGTCACATCTTTGGAGTCTTTGGTTAAGTTTTTCTCCCATAAGGCATAAGGCTTAAAAATGGAGTAAGAAATCATAATTTCACCAGTAGCCCCATCTAGAGTTTGGAGCAAATAGCATAAAAAATGTCAGTTGTCGGTTTTGACCTTGGTCATTCACGTGGAACCTCTATGTGCTTTGTGGTTTCAACGCCTCTAAAGTTCCAGGTGGTTCCAGTGTTACACTGGAATTTAGAGATGGAGATTAGCAAATTTGTAACTGTTAAGTACATTTACAGATTTGTTACTACCCATCTCTAAATTCACGCTAAAACCAAACTTCGATTTTCGTTCAAGGACGACTTACCCAAGTCCGACTCAGCTGAGTTTTTTTTTTTTTTAATACGGATCTTCGTGTATTTATGATTTTTTAAATGTAAAATTAAATTAGGATCTGATTTCCTTCATAGGATAAATATTTTTATTAATTTTGAGAGTTCTTTTCAACCATAATTATTTGTCGATATTAATGTGTAAAATACATATTGACAAGATTACGAGTATTAAAATAGTTGTATGCCGGACGCCACTGTTTTCCCGATCGAGTGTTTATGGTTATTTTTACTGCTAAAAGTTACTGCCAACTTCTCATCGGTACTTTACCGGGAATCACAGGTGAGTTGAGGAAACAAATAAACGATAATTTTACGAACATTTCAACAATAAAATTTACAATAAAATCAAAGGAATTTTCTAGGTTGATAATATAAATAAAATTATTCTTTTTCATTGGTAGAAAATGTGAACGGCCGATCCGGCACAATGCCTATAGGTTTCTAATTTAATATACCTATTCTAAAATAAGTTATTTGTAATTGCAAATACCTTTTCAGCAAAATGCTGACAATTGTTTCTTAATACATCATATTTTTGGGCGGTCCATTCGGTACTAATCTCCTTCAGAAAATTATACAATTCTTTAACGGTTCGATCTGTATAACCCATGATTTTTGTTTCGTTAGGTTCATCTTCCATTATTTGTTTAGTATTGATACCACCATTTCCGTAAGATATTTCATAACCAAACACGTAAACACTCACATGCCAAGCATATTCTTTCGAAGAAAGCATTTTAGCCAATTTGTAGGCATATAAAAGCACTGGATTTTTGGTCGATGCCATTCTTGTTTTGCGGTTCATAAACCATCACATGAATGACTAATAAATGACTGAATAAGATAATAGTGTTTGTGTTGAGAATGGCGTGATGGCGGGTGATTGCAATGAGGTAGAGAGGGAATCCATCTATTGTAGGTAGGTATATGAGAGACGAGTCTCAAGTCGAACTATTCATATTTATATTTTAATATACAGGGTCGTAACTATTGGGAAATAAACTAAGGTTGTTTGGATCAAATTATATGAACTGTATATTAAAAATATCTTCTCAAGACTCAACTCAATTTTGTTTGCAATATAATCAAGATTTTTTTTAGGTTAGAAAACTGGCCCCAGCTAGCACAAAAACATCCCATCTACGTTAATAAGCTGCAATTTTAGGCTCTTTAAGCTCGCATGCAATGTACTGTAAATGTAACCCTTATCTCCCTGCAACTACCGAATGTCCGCAACGGCAAGACTTTTATAGCACATCTCACAGAAGTTACAAAGTGAAGTTCGAAAAACATCACACTAGAACTTTTACGGTACTTACCCCGAAAGTTGCTCTGAAACGTTCTATTGATGTTATAATGTGAATTAGATCTACAGCATTATACAGTGTGTCCACGGATGGGCTTAACTATACTTTTGAAAATATTTATTTTAAATTAAAAAAGTAATTCTTCATAATTTCTTGCTTGTTAAATAAATTCGATTCACATTGAGAAATTATGAAAAATAACTTTTTCTTTAATTTAAAATAAATATTTTGACAAGTATAATTAAGTCCATCCGTGGACACACATTGTGTAATGTAATACAGAGAGGCTGAAATTGAGGCTATAGTAAAATCTCAATCGAGACATGATAATTTCAAATAAAACAAAATATTTATATAAATTTATTATTAAAATGTTCTTGAAATCAAGTACCAATAGCACAAAAGTAGAGGTAGGTGTAGGCGTGTTCTTTTATTCAGTGCTGTATCCAGCGCTTGCAGCAAACCGTTCGTAAATTAAGTGATGGAAAGACGATTGTATGTGTCAATCATTCTTTTTTCCAGCGGTGAGTTCACCAATGAGCCAAGGCATCCATCGGCTTTAAAAGCCGATGGATATGTGATAGACGAATGGTGAGGATAATCAATCATTTAAGTTAACCTAAAATATAAGAGTTCAAATATAAAACGACTGCAGAATAGATAAATTACATCAATCACTGATGGAACAATTATTGAATAAAAGAACACACCTTATATCACAAACACAAGTACACATGTGGGATAGAAGAAGCTACCTAGAAAGCACTGAACGATTGGACAAAATTAGCTAAATAGTATAATAAGATACCAATATTGCAAAGGTTCACTAAAACCTTAAATAGTGAATGATGATAAAGCTAGATTGGTGAAAAATAATAAACGAATACAACAATGACTAGGTACATATTATTATATTAGATTACTAGAGGATAGCTAAGTTCGCTGATTTCTTACCTAAGACGCAGAGATATATCTTTTTTAAATCAAGCCTTTTAACTTTTTTTGCATAGATATTTATAAAGTGCTATAATGTAACCTAAATATGACAATTTATTAGAAGAGCATAAATTATATTTTTATATAAAAAGATTTTACTTCTCAATACATTGAATAAAAAAGAAATTGATAACTTGTTTACCTATTATTAATTAAAGGAAATTATATAGAAATTAAAAAATATGCCTTACTTTGTTGTTTTAAATAAAACAACCAATGTTAGTGTATTGAAATTTGTTTGAATTTTACAAATTTTATGCTTGATTTCCAAAGTAGATATATCGATGGCTCAATCAAAAACCGCCACAAGTCAAAAAACAAAGCAATTACATTTTTGGTTCAATGGATGCAAAATATCATTACGATTTTACTTTAAATACCACCACAAACACAGTCGTGTATCAGCAGGCGAACTGTGTACAGGTGTTCTGTTTTGTGCGCTATCGATACCAACAAAAAAGATAAGTACTTTTCTTTTTATAGTATAGAAAGTGTTTCTCACCTAAATATATTTATATTTTTATATTTATAAAATTGCTACTATTTTCCGTAATTAGCCAATAGTATAAAACTATTATGATAAATCAAACGGGCGGCGTAGAGCCGCCCGAAAATCCTAACATGGATGTATTTGATGTCTCCAATAATAATAATAATAATCCAATAGATGATAATAATGGCATTTTAAAAGATATAAATTCATTTGATTTATCTAACAAGTACACTAAGAGAGATTCCGGTCCCTTTTATGTGTTTGTGGAACATATCAATAAAAATATAGGCAGATTATTTCCGATGAAAATTGGTTATTTTTTGCTCACCGATAATAGATTCAAAGAAAATATAATAGATATAACGTCTGTGGGAGTAAGTAGGGTCAAAGTTATTTTTAAAAACTATGAAATAGCTAATACTTTAATAGGTCATGATGTTATTACCAAAAATCAACTTGTAGCTTACATACCTACCTTTTTTAACTACCGCAAAGGTCTTGTCAGAATGGTGGATACGTTCTTTAGTGAAGATTTTCTAATTCAAAATATAGAATGCGATAATAATGAAATCGTCAAAGTACAAAGGATGAAAAGAAAAGTTACAGATAATAACGGAATCGAAAAAATAGTTGATCGGCAATTAATAATTTTAACTTTTAAAGGAAACTTAATACCCAATAAAATCAAAATTAATTTGACTTCGTTTGTCGTTGAACCTTACATCCACCCAGTCGTTCAATGTTACGGTTGCCTGAAATATGGACATACCAAAAAGTTATGCAAGTCCAAGTCCCAAAAATGTCAAAAATGTGCTGAAGTACATGATAATAATACAAATTGCTCAACCTCTAATAATTTCTGTATTTATTGTCAGAATAATGACCACTCTTCTATATCTAAAAATTGTCCAATGTACCAAAAACAACATAATATCAAAAAAGAAATGGCTTTTCGCAACCTCTCTTTTAAAGAGGCCGAGAGTATAGTAAATAATCCGTCATATTCAAAGATTACAACAAATAATAGATTTGCAATATTCAACAACACACAAAATTTTCCACCACTCGCACAAAATTCACAACCTCAATATACCCCACCATCATACATGCTACACAAACCAAAAATACATATTCCCACTCCCTCCAAAAAACGTAAAGCTTCTACTCCTCCTACAACGCCTTCACCAACTACCTCAAAAACTCAAAATAAATCTCAAACGAAAAAATCCACTTCAGTATTACCAAACCCATATAGGGATGATTTTATGCAATATAAAGAAAAATTGATAGAAAACATATTAAATTTTATTATGTCCAATTTCGCGTCTAACTCTGACAATAACCCACAATTAATCGAAAACACAGGTCAAAAAATTAAAGAACAAATTTCATCTTTGTTAGAAATTGATCCATCTGATTCAATAAGCATTAGCGATGATGACTCAAGTATCTTCTAGACATTTAAAAATATTACAATGGAACCTTAATTCTATAAATAAACGGAAACCTGATTTACTAAAATTATTAAATAATGAAAGCTTCGACATTCTAACTCTTTGTGAATTATGGCTAAAACCAAACGAAAATTTAATTATCAATGGATACCACACTGTACAAAAACTTAGAAATGATGGTTACGGAGGTGTTGCCATCTTAATCTCAAAAAATCTTAAATATAAAATTTTAACCATAAAACAAAATTTTAATAAAAATATTGAAACATGTGCAATCTATCTAGAACAAATCAATCTTTCAATTATTTCTGTCTACAAACCTCCAAATAAAAATGTTTGTGTAGACGATTGGAAAAAACTATTTTTGCAATTCCCAAATAACTCTCTTTTCTGTGGCGACTTTAATTGTCACCACACCCTATGGGGTTCTTTAATCAATCGAACTGATGGTCAACGGCTTGTTCAAGCACTTAATGATACTAATCTTATTGTATTAAATGATGGATCTCCAACCAAAAATAGTAGACCTAACGAAAACAAATCAGCAGTGGATCTCACTCTCGCATCGCCAAACCTTATGTCCAAATTCAAATGGGATGCAACAAAGGACCTTATGGGCTCTGATCATTTTCCAATATATATTCAATTTAATACTAATTACAAACCTCAAAATATCCTACCTCATACGAAATGGAGCACCAAATCTGCAGATTGGATAATATTTTCAAAACTAGTAGACGATCAATTAATAGATATCAGCAATAATGAAGTAACATTCCAAGACCTTTTAGCAATACTTACTAATGCAGCAAATAATTCCATGAAAATCAACAAACCCATTGTCATAAAAACTCCCCAACCTATATGGTGGGACAATGATTGCTCTCAGATGGTTTCAAAAAGAAGATTGGCTTTTCAACAGTATAAAAGATTATCGAACTGGGAAAATTATCTAAATTATAAAAACATTGAATCCCAAACTAAACTTCTTTTTAAAACCAAATGCAAACATAGCTGGACAAAATTTTTAAATAATCTTAATAAAAACACTCCTTTAACTAAGATTTGGAATTTTGTCAAGAAAATAAATAACAAAAAATATAATAGTGTAAATTCAAGCTTAACTGGAGAAATGATTGACAAATTGTTACATCACTTTGCACCTGCTACTGCGGCTAATATTCAAAAGCCCTCAACATATAAAAATCCTAATAATAGTAATTTTCCTAACTACAATTTTTCTTTAGCAGAATTAGATATTGCCTTACAATCCCACCGGAGTACCTCACCGGGAAAAGATAGCATAACATATAATATGCTTGAAAATTTAACTTCTAATGCAAAACAGGTACTATTAGCTTTGTTTAATAAATGGTGGAATTCTGACGAACTAATAGATGAGTTTAAAGAAATCATTATTACCTTAATACTAAAACCAAAAAAAGATCCCACTTTAATATCTTCTTACAGACCTATCTCGCTAATGTCATGCATAACAAAGACATATGAAAGATTAATTAAAACTCGGTTAGAATGGTATTTAGAATATAATTCGAAGCTGCCCACAGCTCAATACGGATCGCGTCGTGGTTGTGGGACTATCGAGGCGGTGTCTCATTTAGTTACTGACATACAATGTGCATTTTCTAAAAACTTATACGTAGCATGTCTATTCATTGATATTAAGAATGCCTAC